TCTGTGTTGTAAATCTTAACCTCTGTGATATTAATGAGGCAGGATTAGAGGCGGCTATGTTAATGAGGCAAGACACAGTCTACAGGATTAGGTTGTTATCTTTAGTCAATCTATTTTGAGATATAAAAGAGAAGCGAGCAGAGAAGAGAGGGACCTGACTACCACCGAGAAAGAAGAGGCAGGAGTGGACCCGGGGACCCTGCACTGAGAAGCTCATAGACCAGACAAAGATTGATGACAAGGACCTTCCTCCAGAGCTGACAGAGAAAGCCTTCCCCCAGAGCTGGCACCCTGAATTCAAACTTCTAGCCTCCTAAACTGTGAGAGAATAAATTTCTGTTTGTTAAAGTCATTCACTTTTGCTATTTCTGCTATAGCAGCACTAGATAACTAGGATATAGGTATATACCCCGAAAGACTTGAAAGCAGACACTCAAATAGATATTTGTACACCAATGTTCACTGCAGCACTATTCACAATAGCCAAAAGGTGGAAATAACCGAAATGTCCATCAACAGATGAATGGATAAACAAAATGTGGTACATACATACAATGGAATACTACTCAGCCAGTAGGAGAAATGAAAACTTGATACATGCTACAGTATGGATGGAGCTTGAAGACATTATGTTGAGCGAAATAAGCCAATCACAAAACGACAAATATTGTATGACTTCACTTATATAAAAAGGCAAGAAAAGGCAAATATATAGAGACCAGAGTTTATTAGTGGTTACCAGGGGCATGAGGGAAGGGGGATCAGAAGGGTTAATGGTGACGGAAAAACTATACTGATTAAGAGTTGCACAGCAAATTACCGTAATTGCTGTCAGTAAGTTCTACACCTGTAAAAAGTTGTATTGGCAAAAGTTGTGTGATAGATACATTTATACTTAACAGTAAAAAAGGTCTGCCTTGAGCATTATGCTCCCTTAAGAACTATCTATGTGGGATCAAATTCACAATAGCAACTTGAAAGATTAGATAGGAACTTTAGGGTGCAGTGAGTTTATGTTAATGGGGGAGGAAAAACTCAGAAAAGGAGGTTGAGAATGGTGGCACTACTCAAAGAATGTATTCAATGTCACTAAATTGTACATGTAGAAATGGTTGAAATGGTATATGTTTTGCTGTGTATAATCTCAACAACAAAATAAATAAAATTTAGAGAAAAAAAAAAGAAAAAAACCTTGGGCCCAGCCTGAGAAAGGACACTAAGGCCTTGCCTGTCGTAGGAGAGACTGTCCTGTTTGCTGTCACCGTCACTGTGACAGTGGGCCCTGATCTGCAGAGCCAATGCAACCTCACGCACTTGAAGCATCTGCTCTGCCAGTGCCCCAGGTCCCTCTTCCGGAAACGAGGAAACACAACTCCAAGAGGTTATCTGCTGGGTCCAAGGTCACAGCAGCAGACGGAGGACTGGAAGTCAAACTGCCCCAACTCGACCCTTGGTCCCAAGCTCTTCTCATTACTACCGTTTCTAAAGGAGAGGGGACTGTTCCCTGCTCCTTCCAGCTGGCATCTGGCCTGCACCCCTGGCCACAGTTTAGGAGCATCTGCATTAAGAAAGGCCTCCTGATACCTTGCCAACAAGTGACAAGCACGGACAGGCTGGAGAGTCTCCAATCAGGAGAATACCCCCAAACCCTGAATGGAAAAGGAGGGCATTCAGAAGAAGCTACACCAGCAGCCACAATCCTTCAGCCCACTATAAAATGCCACACATGGCCCCAGAGTCCCTGTTTCCACATCCCAAGCCTGTATCAAGTTACACAGCATGGGGGGAGGGGGTGGGAGACCAGACTGGAGCAGAGATTCTAAACTCAGGGTCTGCAGACAGGTTTCCGGGACCATACGAATCCTCTGGAACTCCTTGCAAGATTGTGTGTGCCAGTGAATTTTTCTGGGAAGAGTGTCTGTGGCTCTTTCAGAGCCTCAAAAAGCTCAAGGACTTGAAGAGGTTAAAAACCATATGACAAGGGTCCCACAGGTCCCCTCCAGCCTGGTGGCTCTGGGCATACACAAATCCAGCAGCCAGACCACATATCACACTGAGAAGAACGTGCCAGGCAAATGGGGGTGAGGCTGCTGTCCTAACTGCTGTCACTCTCTGACCCACCCCGCAGACCCTGAACCACACTCCAGCAGCACTGAGGACTCCTGCACACCACACATGTCCTGCCTTTGCCTGCTGTGCTCTGGAGAAGAGGCTCCCCCAGCCTGACCCCTGTGAGGCCCTGGGGTGTTCGTGCGTCTCAGTGACCGCTCATTCTCCTTTTGAACATCACTACCTCCAGACTAGAGGAGGAAAGTAAAATGGAAAATACGATTTGGGAGAAAGAGCCACTTCAGCGCACAGCAAAGCCAGATGGACAGTCTTCCAGACAGCCTCAGGGTACTAGAAAACCACCTCTGCCTCTCGTGGACACTGGACACCCTGTGCTCCTCTCCCATGCTGCCCCGGGGCCCATGACCATTTCCTGGAGGGGCCCAGGCCATACAGGACAGCTCTCCAGGCCCCGTGAGCAGGACCATTGCTGGCTCTGGAGAGGCCCACAGCCCTCACCCATCAGCCAGAGAGGTCAAGGGACCCTGACACATGCCTAGAGCCAGAGGGCAAGTTACTGTTCTGCATTCACAGGAAAGGGGGAAGTCAGCCTTCCTAGTCCCACCACTAAGGAAGTTGCCAGGACACCAACCAGACCAGCATGCAGACCTCTGAGGAAACCACCAGGACCTCTGCAAAGCAGCCTCCCCTCAGTCACACTTGGCCCCAGAGGGATCATGTAGCCCAAGGTGTCTGCCGACTTCAGGTCCAGCATCCTGCTGCAGGTGCCACCCAAATGCTGGCTTTGCTTTGTTGTTTTACCTCTAAGAAGGCCTTGTCCTGCTCTTCACCAGCCAGACCCTGAGGGCAGGGCCCCTTCCACTCTTCTGTATCCCCCATAGTGCTGGAGGACAGCGCATGATCAGTAAAACCTCCTTACTGTCTGGCGTGTGAAGGGGATATGATGGTCTGGAAAATCCATTATTCTGTTTGAAAGCCAAAGAGTTACCATAGAGGCCACACGTCAGTTTCCAATTTTCAGAAGACACAGAAATACATACTGATAGTTAGTGGTGCATAATGTCACCTGTCTTTGATGATACAATTCAAAGCAGCACCTGGGGATCCAGCAGTGTCTCCGGCATCATTTGGATGTTGTCTGGAAAGTGGAGGCCCTCCCCCAAGTTCCTGTTTTCCCTCTCCCTCTGCAGCGCACATCTTGGAAACACACTCCAGGGTAACAGCCACAACAGAGATAAAGATGGGGGGTGGAGGGCAACAGGATCTAGGAGGAATTTTGAAAGCTCCCCCAAGGAAGGCGCTCCTTTATCAGTGATGGAAAAACTTGAGAAAGGTGGGCTGAGAGTCCCCTCCCCTGTCTACAACTGACTCTACCTCTCATGTGGTCAATCTAGCAAGAATGAGGGGGCTGGTAGAGAGCAGTGGTTAAGTGCTTGGCTGCTAACCCCAAGGTCGGTGGTTGGAACCCACCAGCAGCTCCACAGGAGAAAGGTTTGGCAGTCTGCTTCTGTAAAGATTACAGCATTGGAAACCCTATGGTGGAGTCCTACTCTATCCTATAGGGTTACTATGAGTCGGAATGGACGGAAACAGATTTTTGGTTTGGTCTTGGCTATCGTCCAAAAGGAGCCCTGGTGGTACAGTGGTTAAGCACTTGGCTGCTAACCAAAAGACTGGCAGTTCGAATCTACCAGCCGCTCCTTGGAAACCTTATGGGGCAGTTCTGCTCTCTCTTATAGGGTCGCTATGAGTCAGAATCTACTGAATGGCAATGGTGTTTTTTTCTTTAATCCCCCAAAGCCAGGCCAAGACAACCTGTTTGGTGATGAGGAAGGGCAGCTTTGCACCCTCCTACCTCCCTCCGAAGGTCCCTGGGTGGTGCAAATGGTTTGTGCTCAACTACTAACCTAAAGGTCAGTAGTTTGAACCTACCTAGCAGAGCCACAGAAGAAAGGCCTGCCGATCTGCTTCCATAAAGATTATAGCCAAGAAAAAACCCTAGGAAGTAGCTCTATTCTGTAACACACGGGATCGCCATGAGTCAGAATCCACTCGTTGGCAACGGGTTTGGTTTTTTGGTTTGGCTTCTCTCTGCAAAATCCACAGAACAAGCCACCACTCCTCCAAAAGAAAGCCAGAAAGGAAAACAAGCCAAGGAGAGGTGGCTGAGGGCACCAGTCCAGGGCAGCCCTGGAGCAGAGGTGACTGTTCAGATCTTCGAAGTCAGTCTCCAGCCACTGAGACGGGACTGACCCAGGGCAGATCACTGGCAGCCTACTGAAATCCCTGCTGGCCAGGGGTCACCACAGATGCCACACGGGAAACCGAACCCAGATCCCCTCTCGCCACTGCTCTCAGCAGGGACTTGTGGCTGGGGGCCTGTGAAAGTTACTCAGGGGAGGTAAACAGTCTCCTCCCGAACCACAATCCAGGACGACTCTCCGGGGCGAACTGCTGAGGGACTGGCATTTTACCAGTCCCAGAGACGTGCCCTTGGACTTCCCCTGCGGAAGCTGGGGTCTGCTGGCAACTGCGCCCAGCGCGGGGGCGGGGATGTAGAGGATTTGAGGACCCTTGGCAGGGAGTGAGCGCCAGTGGGTAGAGGAAGAGAAGCGCCCTGGTGCAGACCAGGCACCCCTCCCTGCATCCCTCCCACCCCCATGCCCCGGGACCAGCCTCCTCTGCCTGCGGAAGATAGAAGCGGGGATATTATTCCAACAGGTCCCCCTCACCGGGCCTCACTTGGCCAGCCTTCCTCTGCCCTCCCTGAGGCCCCAGATTCAGCGGGCGCGCCAAGGCACCTGCTGCCAGACTCGGCTCCATCCCCGCGGGAGGGGTCCTGGGTGGTGCCCCTTGGCACTCCACGACCTCCGCCGAAGGGGTGGGGCGCTCCCAGCCGGCGCGCCCCTGGCGCCCCCTCCCCGACTCACCTGGCGCAGGTGCTGCAGCAGCGTCCCCGCCTCCTCCCGCCGGCCCTGGCGCACCATCCGCAGCAGCTCCTGGACCATGCCGACGCGCCGGTGGTAAGGGGGCAGCCC